AGTCTCATCTCTGTGCAGATGTCACGGCAGGCAAAACACATGAGCCTCTACAAAATACCTGTATGTTAGAATAATACTGCCCTGATTTCATTAAAGGTAATCAGTCATCAGCTGAAAATTAAGGTGCTAATACCCAAATTTTATATTTTACCAGAAAACAAAAGGGGGTCTAAGATTATTAACACCACCTCTGGAAGTCACCACCATAAATACATATCTATCTATATGCAGATACTGTATATATATGGTGAGTCCAGGCTGTCAAGAGGTGACACTGCTCTCTGCAGAGCTTAATTTTGGGAGTGACAGTGTAAGCTCCATCTCACAATTATCAGGCATTTTGCATTGGTGGCCCCCAGACAGAGCAGTAATAGAATAAAAAAGCTGACTTTCAGCAGTGGTCTACTATAAATCAAAGCCACAAACCGAGACAACCCACAATTTTTTTTAATTAATTCTGACCATGACTTCTGTGAACAGTGAAGGTCACAACAAATGTCAAAACCATGTATAATTCCCTCCACTCTGCAGTTCAGGAACTGCAGTCAGACACATGGGTGTGCTTTGCCCTGGCTCAGCAGCAATGACTATGTAAAGCACAGCAACCCACAGGAAAGGCTTTGGGAAGCTTGCACTGAGTTGGAGGGGCTGATTACAGGGAAGGTTGAAAGAGTCTATGATTAGTAAAAAGAAACAGGAATTAAACAGGGTAGTAACCTCAGCTGAAGACAAGAGGGAAGCTGCTCTGTCTGCACAAATACCTGCCTCTAGTTTTAATTAAGTCAGTCCAACATCAATATTAATGTGTCAGACACTCAGTATTTTTTAATTTCACCCCTTTGCCATCCTGTAGCCTTGCAGTTGGGTGCTTAACTTCACTGTGTGGAGCAGGAGGAAAGGGTCAGTGTTTTTCACAGAGAGCAGGCAGATGATACGGCAGCAACAGGGACTGAGAATCTTGAAAATGCAGACAAACCTAGAGCAGTCGTTGATGCCACTAGTAGCCAAATGCTCATATGGAAACTACACCCAACTTCAATTAGGAGAAGGCTGGGTTGCAGGTTTCACTTCCTTCAGTCTTGTGCTTCTCATCCCAAGCTTCCCTCTGTTTTGTTCTCTTGATTAAGCACATGTAGGCTCAATGTCTGACAGCAGCCATGCTTCTCGGGTGGAGTGGTTCAGAAGAACACACAAGAGACTGATTACATCGCACAGTCCATAGAGACAGGCCTGTGCTGGTTAAGGAGAGTGGGTTACAGATTAGTTTAGAATTGAAATCCAGTTTTCAGCCATTATGCTAATCCACTTAAGGCTTGGAGTCCTCTAATTTTTCTTCACTGCTTTCTTCAAAGACAGACGGCTCTGTCATATAATGTCTCCCTTTATCTGCCTCTTCCCTACTATTTCCTTCCCCAGATAAATATTCTAGGATAAACCAGAGATAAAACTTAATTTATACACCTCTATTTGTTACATCCATTAGGCGGAACAGACAACTTCAACTTATATGACATGGGTAGAAAAACTAAACCAAGAAACAATAAATGAAAGCATTTCATCCATTATCTCAAGTGCAAGAGAGCAGGAGTTTAAAACTTCAGAGCCAAACTCTTAAGTCCTAGTACTGAACAGAATACATGAAAAAGTAATTTATCAACCTGGTATGAAACTCTGTGGTAACCTGCTTCCAAGTTCAGTCTATTTTCTTGAAGGAGCTGTAAAATACAAGGTATTTTTCATGATCTGGATTGGTTTATTTTCACATGTTCAGGTGGAATATTCAATTAACACAGTCTAAAGGACTATTTTGCCCAGGATAAACTTCTGAGGTCCTAATATACAATACTCAACACTGTAAAGCATTTTAGACAAGGTTAGAGTTTTTATCCAACTAATCTCCTAGTAAAATTATATAAAAGTCACTAAATCTGAATCTACCTTTTCATAAGGTTCTGCAGAAGATTTTAGTAACACACGTCCTCTCCCCTGTACTTCAGTGATAAAACTGCAGAGAACATCAAATCCTAACACATAGATTTTATCAGGATACAGTACTAGCATTTTTAACTCTGGGTATTCTCATCCCTCCTCACAGTTTAGGCAGATGCATCCAATTAATGATGAATCATTCTACATAAATTTCCTGTTTAGAACATACTGGCAATACCAGCAGAACAGCCTACAGAGCTCAAAACAGGGAAGAGAAACTCACTTGGTCACACATCACCATCATTTAGTTTACAGACCCCCAAAAGAAGCTTTAAGTGGGGGGTGCAGATGTCCCAAGAAAGCAATTGTTCACTTCAGATTCCCAGATGAACTGTCATTATGCTATTAGAAAGAAACTACACTACTGCCTGCAGCTAGAGCTGTACACACCACACACTGTATACAATATACAACTAGAGATCACTACTAGACTTAAGGAAAACTTAACTTCTCGTGCTCCTAAGCACTACTCAGCATATTTGTAATGAAATGAAGTGTGAAGGAAACAGAGGATATTTGATCACTAAGCACCAGCGTGTGTAAGAGCAGCTGTTCTGCTGTACCAGTTTACTCACTCAACATTCGGCCACAATTCCACAGGTGCTGAAGGAGATAAGAATGAAGTAGACAAACAGCTTGGTTCTGTTTATCCATGCTCTGTCCTCAGATTAACCCAAGAAAAGGGCCTCCCAGTGTGTCCTGGGTTCAGTTACAGCAATCATTTTTTCTCCTTCTTAGTAGCTGGTGCAGTGCTACTAAGTAAAGTAAAATAAAGTCAGGGGAATATCTGCCTGTATCCTCAACTGGAAAGTCTGGTCAACTTCACCTTTCTGAAGCAGGCAGACTGTTCTCATTCGATGTATTTTGTTGATTAACTTCTGCCTTCCCTGAAGAAGCCTTTTATTTTCTCTCTCTTTCAGGAATTGTCCTATCTTCTGCATGAGCCTATTGCCCACATCCTGCTGGATCAAGCTATAATGTCCTACTTTCTGATCCCTCCTGGGGAGGCCCATGGAGCTCCAAACTCTGAAAGTTCATAGGTGTTTCAAAGGTTACTCCTCAAATGCCCTCCTCTGGAAGCTCTCAGAGTAGTCGAAGAGACTACCATCAATCAGGAAGGAAACTGACTGCAGGTAACCCTCCCTTTCTTTCTTTAAATCATGACTGATAGAAGGGAACAACTTTTTCTTACATTCAGATACAAACTTTACACTTCAGTGGTCACATCCACAGTTTGTTTGGCTTTTTGGTTTGTTTTAAAAACAGGAAACATTTCTGATGCCACAGACATGAAAGAAGGTTCCCCATAAAAGGCAACAAAACCCACCATGCCACTAAATATAGTATTATTGTAAAACAACTTATGATCTCATGAAGATTTTTTGAAAAGTAGGCTGGTATATAGTTGAATTTCTCTCATCTTGAAAATTACTGAACTACCCTCTGAATAGCCTAGAATAAACTTCCACAGCATGTGGTCATCATTTAAATACTCCACTCGAGATATTTCAGTTCCCTTTAATTTGCATCACTTCTCATGTATTTTGACTTCAGCTTTTAGAGTCAAAATGCGGTGACAGGGATCTTGTAAGCATTTTTAAAGGTATGCAAGAGTGCAGCCCTATTTGATTTGGAAGAATGGACAAATCTATAAGCAACAAAGCCTAGGTTCTTGACTATCACCTTCTTCCTAGTCCTAGGGGGTAATTTCCTGTACAAGCTCACTGTTCTCAATCAGGCACTGTGAAGTATATCACTTAAATGGAACACTCTCCAGTGCAGGGGACAGGCTGTTCTTCCCTCCAGTCTGGCTCACTAATGGTTAAGATTTTAGGGCTCTTAACCTTCAACAGAGAAATAGCTTTGAATTTCATTATAAGCTGCTTCTCATTGACCAGTTTGATTGCTGATTCTTTAAAGGACACAACCAGAAACATCCCTGACCACATAATAAATAAAGCCAACACGATAATAGGTCTTTCAGAAGTCTATAGGACTCCAGGAGATGAGCAGTTGATTTCTTCAAGCTGAGCAGAGAAGCATGAAATGAACTTCGGTTTGCAACAAACTAGGGAGACATGTAAGAAAGAACATGTCTCATTTTAATATTACTTAATATTGGGATTGACAAGGCATTGTAACAGCAAAGAGGAGGATCCTGCAATGGAGGAAAGCCCCAAATCTAAAGAGATCTGGAGGCACCGATTATTTTAAGTGATGACAATTTTAGAGATCTACACATGCCAGAATGTAGTTTCTATTCTAAAGCACTATGAACAGTCTATTGTAACTCAGTGGAATGAAATTCCATTGATTCTTTAGAAAATAAACTTAAGAAAACTCTTAGAAAAAATAAGTAGAAAGCTTGCTACTAGCTCTAGTGATAAACTTATTAGTTTTCACTCTATGCAAAGGAAATGGAACAATATTAAGGTGAATGAATTTAGGTGTAGATCAAAAAATGAAGGATTATGCTGCCAGGGAGTGAAGGATTATCATCACTTACCTCCCTCATCCAGAAGCTTCCCACTCAGGGGCTGGGATGTATCTGAAGAGTAACATGTAATGGAAATTTGTAGCATTAAATTAACTGCAGCTGATTGGAAGCACCTGATGGAGAAGAGGTGAGAATACCTGCTGTTTTAGAAGTGTGAATAGGATAATCCCCAAACCTGACTTTCTGGTCTTCTGCCCTGACATTAACTATTAAGGTTAAAATCTGTCTGAACACTGGAAAAAATACTCTAATAGTCAGTTACAATAAGCTACTGGAGAGGTTTCCAGACCAATCAAAAGGAAAAAGGCTCAAGTTATGGTTTTTAACTGAAACCATAGCCTCATGACACCACTAGTCAAATAACCAGGCAATACACTTAGCATCCAAAGGAGATACAGGTTTTCCTTGATCAGTACAGGGACACAGCCACAAAACCCAAAACAAACCAAAGCACACCTAGCATCTCCTCAGTAGACTACTTAAATAGTTAAGGCAACGGAAAACAAAGTCTTACCTAGTAAGTGTGTACTCCCTGAGTCCTGAATGCAGGTTCATGGCAGAAAAAGTACCTATGCATCCACGCAATCGTTTATCTCGACCAATCTTCCATGTTACAAACAGTGGGCTGTTTAGGGAAAAGAAAGAGAGACGTGATCACAGAAGCAATACTGACAGTTGGAGTGAGATTTCGGCAACAGCGCTCTTCCATTTCGGGCAATGGGGGGCAGGTCACTCAAATGACTGTATCTCAGCAGGGCCATAGTAGGTAGAAACATCCTTTGAATTCTTCTGACTGTTGTGGAAATGTTGCTTTTATGATATAATAGAAAATAAGATTACTGGAATAGTTAATGGGCAGAATGAAAGTGCTTGGTAACCGACATGACATGCTTAGTGTCTCTCACTGTTACCATCAGGCTTCTCCTGTGAATGGGAAAAGCCTCACCTTACACATCTGTCATAAGGAACCCTTTACAGAAGGGAAAAATGCCCCTGTCACACAAGCCACCCCTCCACCTGAACACAAACACTTTGGTCCTCAACGCTGCTGGCAACAACTACCAGAAATTCTTGGAAGATAAGAAAGTTTAGGAACACTCTCCGAACTTACAGAACTGCCTGAGGAAAGGATACTTCCTCCATGAATCCGAAGTTGGTTATTTAAGAAGCTCAAAAATTACCAGAAGTGGAGCAAAATCTCTAGGAAGTTGAAAATGTCTCAATCATATCAGTGTGACAGTTACAAAGAAACACTTCTAATACCAAACAACTTTGTACCCATCTATATCAAGTTAACAAAAAAAGAGACAAACCACACACTTTGCTTGCACTTCTAGAGCATCACATCAATACCCAAGCAACAGCAGCACACACAAACTTGAATTTCCCAGGGCAGTGCACATGGCCCCTGCATTCCCAGTCCTCTCTGAGAGGTTTCTAATCCTGAGATGAACAGGGATGTACAGAGAAGAAAAGCATGGAAAATAGACTCTTTTTGCAGGAAGGAGACAATCAAAGTGCATTACATGAACAAGCTGCACTTCCCTTTAAAAAATAATGGCAATAATTTTTTAAAAGCCACTTCAGTTAAACAACTTGACACAGAGTATTCTTAATCACAAACGGGTTCACATTCCTGCAGAACAAGCAACCCCACCCTGCCCTCCACAACCGCACAGCACCTCCCCCTTAAATCCTCAAGTAAATCTGGTGTTAGTTTTTGTGGAAAGTCAGAGGCCATCCAGGCACAAACATGTATCATTCCTGATATGAGCAGCACAGCCACCCTGCACTGAAGGAGCAAGATGCACCTCTGACATGAGAGCATCAGTGACCGCCACAGGCATGCTCAGGGATGCACGACTGGTTTCCCTCCAAAGGTATTTGCTGAGGCAGGTACTGCTCTTCAGCATTATACACGTGTACAAACCACCATACTGGATTCATCCTTTTCTTTATAGCTGCTTCCTACACAGTGTCCTTATTGTACAGTCCACAGCCATTGCTGTGAAGATCAAGAAGTCTAACATGAGGTAAGGCTAGCGTCTGAGAAGCAGGGAATTACAAAGCAAACATAATTACATGTGCCTTTAAGGAGGGAGCAGATCCAGAAGCACAGGTACAGCCAAAAATTCACAGTCAAGTTGGCTGCCTCAAAAAACCCCTGAAACTTCTGACACTACTACGTGCTGCAAACAACGAGCAGATTTACAACAGCACGCTGCAAGACCGACAATGGTACACTGCAAGACAACCTTTGGTAACTATGTCTTGTCTCGCTCCTCATCTGAAGGATCAGGAAAAACAGAATCTGCAAGCTGAATCTGCAATTTTTGTGAAGCAGAAACTCCCTTCCTAGCTATGCTGAGATTCTTAAAATACATTAAAGGCTAAGAGCTTTACTGCATGAGCAGATCAGTCACTGCACCACCGCATGAATCGCTGCACAGCGTAACAGAGTTGGATGTAACTGTACGGGGGGTATATTCCTTTTCTGCTTCCATTCTATGCTCTGTGTCTGCCATAGCACAAGATACTCATCATGTGATGGCAGAGAAGGACATGCCTCTGGGGCTGTACAGCACCAAAGCAGCAGCATCGAGCCCTCTCCTAACTTTCAAACCCTGCTGTTATCGCCTGCTGGTAGAGCAACTTCCTCCTTACTTAAGCTGGACAAGTTCCCTTCTTTCAATGGTGATGAATAGAAGAGGAAGCTGAAGTCATATCTTTCTTTTGGATTTGGATTTCCTTTTATTTCTTTCCCCCTTTCCCTCCCCCTTTTTTTATGTTGTTTGACAAAAGCTGAAGAGCATGAAGCCGGAAGGGACCATTACCTAACAGTTAGTAGAATGCAGGTTATTACACCACTCTCCATTCAGTCAACAAGTGACATTTCATAAGTGTTTTCAAGAAAGGTTCCCCTAAATGGTATCAACAAAATTGTTAGATTGCAGTGGTGCTGACAACACTCTCTCCCCTTGCACAGAAACAAGCCTGAATAAGATTCAAATTGGACTTTAGGATTATTCTCTTGACCTTTATCTTTGGATTATGAGATTTATTAGCTGTAATACACTTAGTGGAGGGCTATAATTCAGGGAAACATATACGCATTTACTTTCTTGTCAGAACAGAATTCCTTCTAGGATGCATTGTTACTGCTGCTTTAAAAAGACAACAAAAGAAAACATCCAGAGACCATCACTGAATGTCAGATAGATTACTGAAACATTTGCATATGCTTTGAAGGTCCTTGTCAGTGAATACCAACAGAAAAGTAAAGGTTATACACATTTTTTGGTACTCGTGGTAGCAGTAGTATAAATGTACTGCTGGGAGTAAATTTAAACCCTTTTTCGTTGCGTAGATGAACACCACTAGTAGCCATACATGCTAAAAATACATCCCAAAATCTGATTGAAGATGCTTTTCCAGCCTTTCAACTTCTCTATTGCCACACATTGCCTCCCTATTCCCCAGGAGTCACTAAAGCTACCAGCATGTCTACAAAGAAGATAGATGCCTACTGAACAGAATTACTTCTCTTAATTACCATCACAGATGTCTTCAAAGTGTAACATGGACCAAGGGTTCAGAGCAGTCAGTGACCCAAGAGGATTCTAACTCTCAAGATTCAAGAAGTAAGGCTGAAAAGGACCTTCAGGGCTCCAGCTGTCATAAGGAATAATTACATCATATAATGTTCATAACTGTTCCACATTCTTCATCTTAAAACTTACTAGAAATCATGGAAACAGAACCCCCTAAATGAAAAATGAGAAGGTGGCCTCAAAACCTCTGGAAACATTGTGATTTCCTGCTG